TACTACTTTGATGTCCCACCAAATGCAAAGCATCACTTTCAGCGGATGGAGTCGGAAATGGTTTTTGTCTAGGACTGAGCCATTGTTTTTGGCGTTTAATCCATTTATCATCACCGGTGACAATTCTGTACAAAATGGTTCACGCTCATTACGTGCCAGAAAAGACGAAGCAACGTTCATACGTTGGAAACGATGATCATCGGGGAGTTCGTGAGGCACCCAAACACCTTCTTTATGGAGTTTTCCATATTCCTTAGATGTTTACATATTGTTTCATGATAGGCATGCAGTTTCAGGGCCATTTCATGAGTATGTTGCCTTGGGTTAGACTCAACAAGCGTCTTCAGAACATCAATATCAATTCCAACATACCGGCCCCTGCCATCACAGTTTTTAAGGTTAAAGTCAAAACATTTCCATAAACTTCTTTTATATTATTTGTGGCTACAAAGGCGTTGTTTCCCTTCTTGTATTCAAACAGCATTGCATGACGAATGTGTGTGTCTCGTCTTGTGCCATCACCATAAGGGATTAGAGTATACTAAACTTTACACATTAGATAGGCTACACTAACATGAGGTTTAGGCGGTTCGTTCAACTATTATACGTAATGTACGTTATTGCTTTTTTTGGGGGGGGGGGGTTAATGAAAGTGTTCCAAAACGCGACATCAATTTCTCGACGACCTAATACTTGTCTTTAAGCCATAGATCGAGAGTTAAGAACTATGGATATGTCGCAGTTTGGAAAGCAAATCTGCCATAATCACCCCATTTTAATGTTTGGTTGTTGTTAAACACATAGCTACACAATGGGATACCTGTGTTCTGTCCACCACAGGTATCAAACTCAAATTTTAGCGCCGCAAGCCTGCAGACTTATCGCCGAGTTCACTAGTAGGCCCGTTTTACGATAGTCTCATCAGTAGAAAGTTCTATTATGACTAGTTCACGAATATATCAGTCTTAGAAGAAAGAAAATTAACAAAGACACTTTTTTAGTCTATGTTTACTAAAATCAATTAATTGTTTAGCAAGTTCGTATCCAGATTATGATTATCGCATTTTATCTTCATACTGTTTTTTTTTATTGAAGTAAATAGCTTAGTATTGCTTTAACAAGGTTCTTCAACTAAAAAACTAATTTGAAAATGTGTACTGTATAATATATTTTTACAGGTAACTTGTTATTTATGAATTTATTTGTTCATTATCATTTTCGGTCTTCGAGAACCCTTGTCTATATTGTGAGATGGACCTTAACTTTTCAATAGGAAACGTTCACTACACCATTATACCACCTCCAGCAACTTAAACTTCAGAAGGAGCTTCTTATGATTTTCTTCATATTCAGTCAGAAGAGAATGAGATATAACGCTACTTATCAGATCACGTCACTCTCCTCTGATCATCCATTTGTTTGCAGTTTGCACTAAAGAGCCACTACATGCTTTCCTGTTTACATCTGAGATAAGTGGGTTTCGGATATTGGTTACCTAATTACAATTCTTATGATACAGGGATGAAGAAAGATCAATCCTGACCACTGTTGAAGGAATTGATTAATTTAAACACAGTTTGGCGTCTGTCCAGTCGTCCCAATATGTCACCAGCAGTTTGTTTTCTTGTTGATTGTCACTGTTGACAAACTGATGATAGATGTCTTTGAACAGCCGATAGAACAAGAGGTCTTTAATAACAGCTATTTATCCTAGAATTTCGCGAAAATATACTCCTTCCGCATAGCTGCCCCTAATTTTGAGCTCATAGACCAGAGGAAAAGCAGGTACTCAACATCACCCATCACCAACTCTTAAGCTACCCTCATCTAGTCGAATAATGAGATTTAACCGTCACTTTTATAGGGTACCCATGGCTCCAAAATGCAGTGCACGTACAACAATTCATGTACCAAAAATCCATTTAACGTACGGCTTTGTTCTTTCTAGACAGGCACTGTGTATCATGCCCCTTTAAAAGTTAAAGATATTTACAGGTAATCATTATATTTTTGCCTTTATATGCCACAAGTAATTGCCTAATGCATCACATGCAATTAAATGGACTGTTCTACAAAATATATGTGGGGTGGTGCGTCCTAATAACATGGCCTGTTAATAATATATGTAACTAAAATGAAGTTCAAAATAATTTGCTCACTTAAGACAAAACTTTTCTTTTCGAAAGCTTTTATGGTAGTAAACAAAAACATTTTATTCAGTTTGTATAACTTTAATACTAACTGTAACATTGAGCTTTATTTCTCTATATACTGAAATGTGTGATTTTTCTATTCTCATTTGCCAAGACTTATCTGTTAATAAAACACGTATTTTGTAATGGCTTTCTTTATGAACCTTAAGCATAAAAGAACAACAACAACAAAAAAAAATCATAGAAGTTTAAATTAATTCATCATTTATTAGTAACTTTGTATCAAACAAGTATTAAATTACTAATATCTTGAAGTATAGTGAGATGTTGAGAAAATACTTTTCATCACTTTTATCAAAAGCAAAAATAGAGTTTTATCTGCCTCGAGATGTAAACATGAGCATCCACAGAATTTATTCCGGGGGGGCAAGCCATCGCAGAAGCAGGCCATTTGTCTTGAAGATTGAATGCGATGCTCTGACTGATTATGTTTTTTTTTTCATGTAAACCTAATTTCGTAATTTATATTCAAATAGTATTATTTTCTAATACACTTTTTAAATAAATTATTCAAATAAATTTTTGTCTGAAATTCCAGGGGAACAAGTGTCCCCTTGCCCCATCCATAGATGTAAGGGCGTTCAAATCAGCTTCTATTGTATTAAAATTATAAATTTGTATTAATAATAGCAAAACGTTGTGTTTTCAAATATTCGGAGCACTAATAATAGTGTCCCCCCCCCGTAGCACAGCTGTATGTCTGCGGACTTAAACGCTAAAAACCGAGGGGGGCAGAGCCCAGATAGACCATTGTGTAGCTTTGTGCTTAACAAGCGACCGCCCCCCAGTGGCACAGCGGCATGTCTGCGGACTTAAACGCTAAAAACCGAGGGGGGCAGAGCCCAGATAGACCATTGTGTAGCTTTGTGCTTAACTAGAAACATACAAACAAACAAACAAACAACTAAAAGTAGTTTCAAAACTTTTCTTTAGATAAGTTATAATGTTTTAAGTAAAATTCACCATATAAGATTTCAAGTTATGGAAACAAGTTTAAAACCTAATTTGCTTATTACAATGATTTTTGTATATCCTTCTAATAGTGCATAAAATGATTCAAGTTCGTTTAAGCTCATAAAAGTCTAGGCTCTCTTATATAACTAGAAAAATAAAAGACTTGAGTGGTGGATATTGAGAATAGTTTTCTAGTTATTTTTTATCATAAATTGTTTGTTCGTTTGAAGTTACGCACAAAGCTACACAATGGGCTATCTGTGCTCTTCTCACCACGGGTATCGAAACCCAGTTTATAGCGTTGTAAGTCCGCAGACTACCGCTGTGCCACTGAGGAGCTTTTATCATAAACGGGCGTCATTCTGATAAAGTTTTCAGGACATTACTACCATACCTATTAGTTGCTAGGGGATTAAAATTACGCTTGAAATGGTCCAATAAATCAATGTCTAGCATACAGGTTCCTAGCAGATCAATTCCGACTCTTGTATGCTGATAGGTTGATATCAACCAAGCTGTTGTGACCTGTCAGTATGATACAAGTTTTTATGGATCAAAGTTGCACTTCGACGTTGCTAATAGAACAGTACTATAACTTTAGGGTTAAAGGGAATTGATGCTATACTTTTGATTGCTTAGGAATTAATATCATGCTTGTCACGCGCTTGAAGATCGCTGGTACACTTGAAAGTCACAAATAATTTTATGTTACTAGGAAATTGTAGTTTCATCTAAACGTTATGGACACGTGTTTGCCGTAGGTTTCATTTTTGCTAAATTACAAAAGTTTCATAAGTATATTAAATACTAATAGTTCACGTAGTTGTTATTATTAAAGTAAATCAAGTGTTTTGCGTTATTATTATTATCCACTTTTTTTTTCACTACACTGTTCTTTTTTCCATTTCTTTTTACTAGGGGCCAGTTCAGGTGGCGCGTCTATTCACGACACAACTGACAACTAGGCCTTGGATCTGTTCAGTAGAAGACACCCCTATGCTTTCAGGTGTGTAATAAATGAAGTTGTGAAAAAGCTGACTAATCTCTTGGACGACGTAGAAGACGTTACTGTTGCAATTTTATTTTCTACGTCTAACCTACCTCACTAACCGACTGCAAAAGCTACAATTAACCATATGGCTTGTCTGAGAATTAAGCGGTTGTGGAACCAAACTTCTGTGATTAACCATTTGATGTTGATACTAATAATCTATATACACCATATAATAATCATGAACATTAAAACATACTTTTTGAATAAAATGATGATTAAATTCCATGTCTTTCTCTGTAACTTGTAAGTGTAACTTCGGAAATACGTAAATTGTCAGTGTTGGCGAATGTAAGATCAAAGAGTAAATAATTATAATAAATTATCCTTTTCACAGTCGATTTTTCCATGATTTATTATTGTTTAATTTGTTACAGTTAGAGCACGTACATTTGAAGATAAAAATTCTTCCTGATAAAGAATTGTTTTGTTTTTTGTAGTACAAGGTGAAGAAATTAATTAACGGTTTAACTGCTATTTTATGAAGTATGTGTATTTACCTATCTTTCAACCATAATATCATAGCAAATCATTATCGACTCGGAGTACACCTACATATGACCCATGCATATAATTTTTATTAGAGTTATAGTGTTACACAAGGAGAATGACAATAGGTATTAGCATTTGTTAACAAAATTAGCTCATAAAAAGTATTATTTGTAACATAACTCAAAATATTATCTCATAAAAAAACCATATTACCAACTAGCATAACAAAATTAATAAAACAAACCATGTTACCTACTAACATAACAAAATTAATAAAAAAACATGTTACTTCTAAAATAACATAACAAAATTACCTCATCAAAAATCGTATTACCTCTAAAATAACAAAATTATCTCATCAAAAAGTCCTCTGGTGGGACAGTGGTAAGTTTACAGACTTACAATGCTAAAATCCGAGGCTCGATTTCCCGCGGTTGACAGCAGTTAGCTCAATGTAGATTTACTCTGAAACAAACTCATAAAAAATGTTACCTCTAACACGACTAAACAAAATTATCTCTTTAAAAGAAAAGAAACGTTATCTGTAACTTAACTTATTTTGTCCCTTTATCCATAATTCTTCTTCTTTTTTTTTTTTTTGGTCCGAAAACATATTGTCACGACAGCGGAAGTCACGTGACGCTGCTCGCGCATGCGTGACTGAGTTTCTCGAATTATCAGGGAACTCCTCGAATTTTGTCGAAGCCTCTTTGTTAGTATATAAGACTGGCGAGAAAAGCCAGCGGACGATTTTGAATGTATGATAAAACGAACAGTAGTCACGGTAAGTTTTGGATAATTTACGATTCTGTTTCGAGCTAGTGTATGTTTTGCACTCGTAGAGAGCAAAATTATCGAGATTGTGAATCGCTGTGATTTATAGCATGTATTATAAAAGTTGTTAAGTTTAAGAATTTAGGTGTCTGTATTCAAGTTTGTTTCCGTGTATGTTTTTATTTTAATTTTATAAAGTATACCATTTGTAGAATTTCAACATACTTCAGTTGTCTTTTTTTTTCAATACTAAAATGTTCTTTCTAATTATGTGGTACTGCCCCAATATTTCTGGGCAGTTCTTAAAAAATTCATAATTCAATACGTCTTTTTTTCTTCTTAGAAATGCCTTAGTGACATTGGCCTATTACTCTGACTTTCAAATGTTGTGGATCGCAAACAAATATTAAGATAAAATTTTTCAATACTTCACATGAAAATATTATTTGCTTGTGTGTCTTGTCTGATTTACATGAAGAAACGACAAAGAGAACGATTAGCTTTCAGAGAGTTTTAAAGTTTTACTATTAATTTCTATAACATAATTATCAAAGACTTCACAACTTGTAATTTAATCTATGTGTTGTTATTTCATTTTCCAAACCATAGTATTATATTCAACATCTTTAACAGGTCAAGGAATCTCATTTTAAAAGTTTTCAGTTATTGTCAAACTTTCACTTATATAGAGATTAGAAGTCAGTGGCGTAATTACCGAAGATCCCTCCCTCCTGCATAAAAAGTAATTGGGCCCCCTTACATTTATTTCCCTGTAGTTGTAGTTATGAATGGTTGGTTGATATAATTAACTTAACATAATAGTGCAATCACCCTTTAGTTTAAACAAATTAAATTATATGTTTATCCCCTTGTCAGCAACCCTTAATTTGTCAGGCCCTTCGGGCCCCTTTTGGCTCGCCCCCCGCAATTGTGGAAACTGCTGCGTATAGTTACAGCACTGTTAAAAGTACCCACATCTGAACCTGCTCATGACATGGTAGAAAAGGTTTTGACTATTTAATAATATCAATCAAATAAAATATAATCTTACGTAAAGATAACAGACAAGTTTTTTTAACCCAAGTTTATATTCTATCTCTGCTCTAAATCGCAATTTTATAACTATTTGGGAAATGGCTATGAACAAGATTATTAGGAAAGGTTTTGACTATTTAATAATATCAATCAAATAAAATATAATTTTGCGGAAAAAAAAGTTTTTTTAAACCATATTCTATCTCTGCTCTAAATCGCAATTTTATAAATATTTGGGAAATGGCTATGAACAAGATTATTAAAAAAGAAACTCACATGCTTCTCAAGTGTACCTGATATTGTGATTTTATAAATCTGCCGGTGACTATTCTATAGCTTTATGTTGTATTAAGGCACCTCAAGTGAGGATAATAAGATTTAAAGAAAAGGTGCGGATCACATTAATTCATTATGTTTATGGCTCTACCCTCAACTGTTTGCTAATATCATGTTGTTTCACACTATGTCAACATTTTTGTCACCTTTTGTCACCCTGTCTTTAGCTTGTTTTGTCTATCTCCCGCACTGCACCATCCTAAATATAGCTTGTTTCAGCTTGCACCTACTGTGTCACCTTCTGCCACCCTTTATATTTTGTTTCTTTCAGCTCGTGTCTCACTATTAATTTTCTTTTCAGTTTGCATCCGACTTCGTCTCCTTTTGCCATACTAAACTTAGCTTGTTTCGACCCTTATGGCTCATCGACACTTAGGGTGCCTTAAAACAACAGGTAACTAACTTCCCGCCATCAATGTTGCAACCAAAAAATGTCATTTCTTTTTAAGGTTGACGAGTAAGCCATTTGTAAAATATTTTGAGGTCACATATGCTCAAGCTATCAAGCGCATTCATATTGTCAGAGACTGAATAAAATGTTTTCGGCAAAAATATCAGTTAATAGATATAATAGTACTGTCTGTTGTATGTACATGAAACTACTTCGCAGGATATGGAGGTTCATTAGGTCTATGCGGAGGTACATAGAAACTTTCAGTTTTGTGTTTTGCGGTTTTTATGGGCGTTTTTTGCGTTTCTTACTACTACTTCGCCGCCTGTTGACAGATCTTCACCAAATGTGGTATGGAGGTTCATTGAGTCCATGGGGAGATACATAAAAAATTTCAGTTTTGCATTTTGTGTTTTGCGGTTTTTATGGGCGTTTTTGCGGTTTTTACCACTACTTCATTCCCTGTTGATGGATTTTTACCAAATGTGGCATAAAGGTTTTGGGGGTACATGGAGAAATACATAGTTCAGTTGAAGTTGTATTTTGGTCATTGTATTCTGTAATCAAAAAGAGACAAAAGAATACTTTAACAAATAAGTAATCAATCTTTTATCATTTATCACAAATGTTGATACAGCAGAAAATGACACATTTTCTATAGTGTTAACATTTGGGAAGAGATTTAAAAGTCTTCTAATCTGGCCACTTTAAAACAGCTCTAATTGGATTGAAGCTGTTTTTAAATGGCAGTCCTAAGCCTGCTACGGGGAAGGGAGGAATTTTCTAAACATTTTATTTCATGGTGTTGATTGATCTGGTTACATATAAGGGAAGCAACTTTTCATGCCGTAAGATATCCTTTCATTAACTATGAATTTACATAACTTCCGTCCAGGGGACGGGTACTCTAGCTAGTCAGTTATTAAATTTTCAATAAACCATTGTCTTCATAAATATGTTGTTGTAAAGTAATTTGTTTACATTGTGCTTAAAGAACGTGACTGAAATCGTTGTTGCACCCTACATTTTCCATTTGATATTTAACCTCATATTTAAGACTAGAGGGAAAGCAGCTAGTCATCCCCACCCACTGCCAAATCTTGGGCTACTATTTTACCAACGAATAGTGGGATTGACC